TATAGACACCTAAAACGATGTTTAACCGAAATTATTTCGGTATTTTCTGATAGTAACCCTCTGACGCCGAAACTCGTGTAAGTGATATTTAAGAATTTAGTCCGTACCGAAAAGAAAACAACAGTTCACATATCAAATCTAAAACTTCTTGACGATGGTGAAGAGTCAATTGAATAAAAATTTCCTTGGATATTATCCATCGTCTAGTAAATATAAAACGTAAAACGACGTTTCGGAGATGGGACTCTATCTCCGTCTTCAGGTCCCTACACAGTTGGGCCCACTAGATAGAGCGACGTTTCGGAGATAGAGTCCCATCTCCGAAACGTCGCTCTATCTAGTGGGCCCAACTGTGTAGGAACCTGAAGACGGAGATAGAGTCCCATCTCCGAAACGTCGCTCTATCTAGTGGGCCCAACTGTGTAGGAACCTGAAGACGGAGATAGAGTCCCATCTCCGAAACGTCGTTTTACGTTTTATATTTACTAGACGATGGATAATATCAAAGAAAATTTTTATTCATCACTTCACATGCTGTTTAAGGAAACGATCGCTGTTTACATCTAGAATAATACGAAACAAACTCTGGGCGCAAAATACTTGCTTGTTAAAGTAGTTGGTACGGTAGTCGGGGCGAATGTGTGCGTTCCACGTCTGTTAAAGGTGAAAAGTCTAGGGGATCAGATGAGCTGAAATTAACCAGATAAGGAAGTGCATTGACCTCTTATCTGTACTAATTTTCAAACATTATTTTCCATCAGCAGTTTGTTATAGCTTGTGTCAGTTCGTGTTTGTACCCACAAGCTTATGACGTAGGCTAAACGTACGCATTTGTCCCGGCTCTGGTACAGTAGTCGGGGCGGTAGTTTGTTATAGCTTGTCGTGTCAGTTCGTGTTTCTCCCCTCAAGCTTATGACGTGGGCTAAACGTACGCATTTGTCCCGGCTCCTGTACATAGTATCTCTAGGTTTCAGTGGGTGGAACGTGGGTTCGTTGGGAAATTTTGCTCTGTGCATCGATTTATTCCAACCTTGTGCAAAGAACGGCCGTGTTCCGTACGTCACTTCGAAAACGCGCATTGCGGCCAGCGATCCAGACACGTTCTTTCGCCGATCCGTGAAATTAATCTGTCCGCTCTGCGCCCGGAGTGCAACGCAAAACACAGCCGTGCGTGAGTCAGCACTGATCGCAGTGCAGGAAAGAATGCGTAGGATTTAGCGTTACGCATTTAAACACAAAAGTGTGTCCCAAGAGGGACCCCACGACCTGATTACTTCGCCCACGCGAACAAAGCCTCGCCTTCAGTTTTATTATTGGCTGTAACAGTGTAAGAGGGGCCTATCTCGCAGGACGAAGAACTCTTAACGCTCCTGAATCTCCCTCGGTTGGTCTCCTGTATTAGAAGATATGAGGTGCGATCGGAAAGTTTCTAGACTGCGCCTCTAAAAACCCGTACAGGTATTAAATTCATCCATCACCCTCGAAGTAGTTCCCCTGGGAGTGAACACAACGATCCCAGCGCCGCTGCCAAGCCTGGAAGCATTCCTGGAAATCTT